TGATAAATGGTCTTTACATGGCCACCACGAACTTGCACCAAGCCCTTCACATGCAACTGCAATCCATAAATTGTTATAGATATCATGTTTCCAAACAAAACCTCCATCCCATGGTGCTCGCTTTGCAATTTGAGGTTTCCCATGATAAGTTATAACAAGTGAATCTTTCTGATGAATCACGAGAGGCTCTGGTAGCGAAACGAAAACAGCATTAAACTCACGTGTGAAATTCAATGGATGATTACGATAGGTAACTTGATCAATGCTTAGGTTTTCAGCCAGATCAATCTGCATTTTATCAGAACTACTTGTAGCATTGAAGTATATGACGTTTCGACCTGATATAGTTTTATTTACAGTATCAAAATCAATGCTTAAATTGTAGAAATAGACATCAAAGCAAGTCCGTTCCGGTCGTAATGAACCACGAAGCGAATCCATGCGTGTAAATACTTTTTTTTGCGAAAGTAATTGGGCGTTCATGCCCAACGCTATACATGAAAAAAGAAATATAAATAATGATTTTTTAACCTTTACAATTCGAAACATATCGTTCTTTTGTTTTGTTGAAGATACACTTGATTAGATTAAAAGAAAGTAATGAGTAAAATTTTGATTCCTATATTGATTATAACGATACTTGTATTTGGTGAGTATTATATGTGGAAAGCGGTTCAGACAGTCTCTGGCGAAAAATTAAGAGCACTAAAATGGATATATCTAACATTAAACATTTTGTTTTATGTTGTTTTTTTTACTTACAAAATAGCAAGCTCAAAGGTTATACCTCAAGCTATGTTTACAATAGCGATTGCCGGAATGTTTCTTTTTTTGGTGGCTAAATTGATGGTGTTTTTTGTTTTCTTTTTGAATGATACAATTCAGCTGATGAAGTATCTATTTGTGAAAGTAAGTCAGCCTCAAACAATAACAGGCACACCTATAAATCGATCAACGTTTTTAAGCAAAATGGCCCTAGGTATTGCAGCCGTTCCGGTTTTTAGTTTGATTTATGGCGTAGTTGTAAATGCATATAATTATCAATTCAAAAGAGTTACACTCAAGTTTCCAAATCTACCCAAAGCTTTTGATGGATTTAAGTTGGTACAGATATCTGATATCCATGCAGGCAGTTTTGATAATAAGGACAAAGTATTGGAAAGCTTCTTTGACCAATGCTTGACAGTCGTCAAATGTGCCATTTATTTCTACAGCTGAGATATTTTCTCCTAAAGTAGTCAGTTGTTTTTCTTGCAGATCACTCACCTTGCCACTTGGGTACAAAATAATGACTTCTATGCCCGGTGTTTTGTAAAAACCTGCTGCCACTGCGCCACCTGTATCTCCAGAAGTAGCGACAAGAATCGTGGTGTTTTGGTTTTCATTTTTGATAAAATATGACATCAATGCTGCCATAAATCTTGCACCAAAATCCTTAAAGGCAAGACTAGGACCATGCCAAAGTTCCAAAGTTCCTATCTTCTCATCCAGCATCACTACAGGTGCTGGAAAGTTGATAGCACCATAGACTATTTCTTTCAGATCAGCATCAGGAATATAGTTGCCTATCAAGTTTTTACTCACGATAAAAGCAATCTCCTGAAAAGAATAATTTTCGATATGATCTATAAATTCCTTGTCCAAAACAGGGATTACCTCAGGCATGTACAGACCTTTATCCTTTGCGAGCGACTGCATGACAGCTTCCTTGAGTTCGACTTTTAGCGATGGATTATTGGTGGAGTATAGTTGCATATGGTATTATGTTTAAAATCTAATCGCCCCTTCATGGTTGATTTTGGACAAATAGGTATTGATGCTTACTTTTTTGGATTGGTATAATTTATTGGCTGCTTCTATGACGGATTCTGCTTTTATACTATTGTCACACAAGGCAAACATGGACGGACCTGCCCCACTGATGCTAAATCCAAGTGCTCCTGCCGCCAAAGCTGCTTCCTTCATTTCATAAAAATGCGGAATCAAATGTGCTCGTTGTGGCTCTACTAATAAATCTTGAAGTGATCGTGAAATTAAACCATAATCTGAAGTGTACATTCCTGCAACAAAAGCCCCAAGATTTCCTTGTTGGCGAATGACGTCTTTAAAACTGACTTCGGATGTCAGAATGCCTCTCGATTCTCTAGTCAACACTTCCACATGTGGATAAATCACGGCTGCGTACAATCCATGTGGAATATGTAGTTTTTTGATATCAAGTGTCTCATTATCTCTGATCAAGACCATACCACCTAACAATGAAGGTCCTACATTATCTGCGTGAAAAGCACCATCCGCTATCTGCTCACCTTCGACCGCAAATCTTAGCAACTCGTACTTACTCAGTCCTGTATGTAAAAACTCGCTTATCGCAAAAACACCTCCTGCCGCACTTGCAGCCGAAGAACCCAAACCACTACCAAAAGGCATTTTTTTGTGGATCTCCATCTCGAGCGGACGATCTGTCTCTCCTAGATGTTCGAGGAGTCTATAAGCAGCATAACCCGCTGTATTTTTCATGACATCATAAGGCAGTTTGCCACCAGCACCTTGAATATCTGTTATCACTAATCCAGGTTTACTCCCTTCTCTAATGATGATTTCATCTCCTGGTTTCTCTAATGCAAATCCTAAAATATCAAATCCCACAGCCACGTTTGCAACGGAAGCTGGAGCAAAAATCTTTATACCTGGTTTAGCCATTTTTTAATTTTTAAAATAATCAATATACAAATTCCCGTGTCACACTGGACTTCATCAATTACCAGCACTGATGATTTCCGCAAAAATGCCGGCAGCAGTCACTTCAGCTCCTGCACCCGGACCACGCACTACAAGCGGTCTTTGTTTATATCTTTGACTCGTAAATACGATCATATTGTCACTACCTCCTAGATTGTAAAATGGACTGTCTGTACCTACCACTTCTACGCCGCAAGATATCTTTCCATTTTCAGCTTTGGCTATAAATCTTAATAATCCATTATCCGCTTTAGCCTTTTGCAGCAATTGCGAAAAATAAGGGTCTTCTTCCTTCAATATCTCAAAAAATGACGCTACATCCTTTGCAATCAGACACCTTTCTGGCAATATTGGGTTGATAACCACATCCGATGTCTCTACCTTATAGCCTGCTTCACGAGCTAAGATGGTAATTTTTCTAGCTACATCTGCACCCGATAAATCATCTCTAGGATCTGGCTCTGTATATCCTAGTTCTTTGGCTTCTGTCACCAATTGACTGAATGGCTTACTACCATCAAAACTATTAAATATAAAAGACACTGAACCAGACAGAACGGCTTCGATTTTAATGATATTATCTCCACTTTGTATCAAATTTCGCAAGGTAGAAATTACAGGAAGTCCTGCGCCTACATTGGTTTCAAATAGAAATTGTACATTGTTTCTCTTGGCCAATTGTTTTAGTCGATTGTATTGGTCATAGGCAGATGAAGCAGCTACCTTATTAGGTGTGGCTACCGAAATACTTGCATTAAACACTTGCTCGTACAAATCTGGAATCTTGCCATCCGCAGTATTGTCTATAAAAATTGAATTAGAAAGATTCATTTCAATCATCTTATCCACAAATGCTTGACTATCTGAGACATCCATACTTGTGTCCAAATCTTCTTTCCAGTTTGTCAAATCGATACCGTTTTCGGCAAATACCATTTTTTTAGTATTGGCTAGACCTGCTATGGTAATTTCTAGACCGTTCTGCGTTTTAAGTGTTTCTTTTTGTTCTTCTATCTGTTTGAGCAAGGTGCCACCTATGAGACCTACACCTACCATAAAGACGTGGATTCGTTTGGTATCAGAAAGGAAAAATGAATCATGGATGGCATTCAAAGCCTTGGACTCATCTTGTTTATTGATTACAAATGATATATTCAACTCCGAACTACCTTGGGCAATCGCCACAATATTAATACCATTTTTGCCCAATCCTTCGAACAGTCTTCCGGCCACACCCGGCACATTTTTCATTTGTTCTCCTATGATGGCTACCACGCACAAATCTGATTCTGCTTTGACTTGGTCTATCAGTCCATCTTCTATTTCTTTTTCAAACTCTTCCGTAATGGCGTGAATCGCTTTTTTTGTTTCTTTGTCCGTGATGGCAATACTGATCGAATGTTCAGAAGACGCTTGGGTGATCAGTATGACATTGATTTTTTCCTTTCCAAGCGCAGAAAATAGCCTTGCAGAAACACCCGGCACACCCATCATTCCACTGCCTTGAAGTCGGATCAGAGACAGATTGCCCAATGAACTGATACCTTTTATAGTAGATTTGAAACTCGGGTCATGCTCTTTATGGATTAAAGTACCTTCAAATGCAGGGTTAAACGTATTTCTGATATAAATGGGAATTCCTTTGCGCAATGCAGGTTGTATGGTAGGTGGATAGATCACTTTTGCACCAAAATGCGACATCTCCATGGCTTCCACATAACTCAACCTTGGAATCGTAAATGCTTTTTTAACCTTCCTAGGATCACAAGTAAGTACGCCATCCACATCGGTCCATATTTCTAATACTTCTGCATGTAGCGCACCAGCAAGAATAGCTGCGGTATAATCCGAACCACCACGACCAAGTGTAGTCGTCAGTCCGCCTACATCCGAACCAATGAAACCTGTGACTATTTGAACTTTATCATGATGTTCCTGATAATATTGTTGGAT